GGGGCGGGCCTGTGCTATTATGGAAGAAAAAGGCGATAGACAGCGGGGCACAGGATAGTGGAATCAAGAGCGCTAGCTAACGTATTTATCGGTGGATTTGTATAATCATGAGGCTTTCAAGCCTCCAGCAGGCACACATTTAATAGAGTGGACAGGTAATAGAGTGAGTCAGGGGTTTCACCTTGTCTGTCCCTGACATTTGTGCTGGCCAGGGGAACAATCTATGATCAATATGAGAAGGAGATGTCAGAAGGGAGTCAGCAGCACTTTGGGTGGGACGGACAAAGGAATCTGCTTGCTCTTACAGACAGGTAGCCTCTGGGTGCCTAGCGAGCAGCCAGGCACAAGTATGAGACATCTTTGATGGGAGCACCTTCATGGAGGGCTACGGTGGGGTGTTTTTCAGTCTGGAGACTGTGTATTTGATGTCATCTCTCGGAACTGTGGAGATCTTTCTCCAACTAGAGCCCATCTGCCAAGCCCTGTGGCTGCATACACTCTCGTCCAGGTCCTAAGTTTTCTGCAGGTATGTCACAACAAAACAAAACAAATTTACTTCCATCGAGACAAAGCCTTCTCAAAGTCTTGCTTTTGCTTGCTTGCTGCCTGGGACCAGAGTCCAAGGACACTATTATCAGACCTTGGCTAACCACTAACTTCACGAAGTACTGAAGGTCTAGGCTTCCCACACTATCGAAAGAGGAATGAATTTGTGTTGACGGTGCTTCTGACCGGGACTTTCCACGGGTGATGAGAACTGCCTCAGCAGTCCCTAGTTCTCAGCATAAAGGCCAGCACAAATGTCAAGTGCTTTTGACTTCTGCTTTATTTTAACTGGATGCCTTCAGTTTTTGTTGTAGTTTTTGTCACAGCTCTCTCCGCAAGGGCAGTGAATGGAGAATTCTCCCTAAGGTCAGTGTTTAATTAATTGCCTCGCTCTGGCTGCTATCGCATTACACCTTGTGGAATATATGGCACTGATCCTACTATTCACATTGACTTGGCGATTGCCGGCCAGTCGGACGTCAGTCTTCCAGTGACTGCCCTGAGTCAATAAGTGGCGGGCGAGGCTCATTCTGCAGTTTACAATCTCGGGGAGCGGACCTACTCGCGATGGTTTGATTGGGCCTTGCCCGTGTCCATCATTAGAAGGCTCTCGCCCCTACTGTTTTGCAGCAATATTTGGAAGCAGAGCTCCGCCTCTGGAAACAAGAAGCCTGAAGGGGCGGTGGGGAGGGACGTTGTCTCTAGCTCTCTCTTCATTGGCTGGCTTCTACGTCAGTCATCCTCTCCTCCACTCCCGTTGTCAGGAAAGCTCCAGGCCGCGGGCGTGGACCTCGCACTGCCCCTCCCAAGAAGGGAGAAGGGCGCGTGACGTTTCCGGCATTTGTTGTTGGGGTTTGGGCCTCATTAATTATTCATTATCCATCGAAAGGGCCGCAGCGATTGGTGGCTGAGAGGCCTGGTCGATTGTTTGTTCGCTAGTGATACGTGTTGCACTCAACGCCGCCGGGGAAGTTTTGCATAAATTATTCCGAGGGCGGCCGGGGGCGGGGCCGCGCATAGATTAGGCAAATGAGGCCAGAGAAGGAGGGAAAGCTGGCGACGAATTAGCCTAAGTTATTAAAGATGGCGGCGGAGCGGAGTCGCTCCCCGATGGACTCGCCGGTCCCAGCCTCGATGTTCGCCCCCGAGCCCAGCTTCCCTGGGGCGGCGCGGGCCGCGGCGGCCGGCGGCCGGC